ATTATTATTATTATTATTATTATTATTATTATTATTATTATTATTATGTGGTTCCTAAAATTAAATCAAAATGAAGTTCCGGTTTATTTCTAAAATATTTCTCTTTGAATGAGAAGCACCATCAAGACATAGTAGGGACTGGGTCTTAGGCTCGCATCCTGCCTCTGACATCTACTTGCCACGTGGCCTTTGGGAAATCATTTAACTTCTTGACGTACTAGGAAACTCCCTAAGACTATAAATTAGTCACTTGGAGTTACTCATGTCAATGAAATCACAGATCCTGTCCCCATCCCTTTTCTTTCAATAGAAAAAAGCAACCAAATTAAGTAACATTTCAAAATGTTTAGGGTTTCTATTAAAAGGCAGGTAACTAGTTGGTTTAATTATGAAAAATGTCTGTGATTTACTGACTGACTGTAATACAGGATGTAATTTCACTAAATGATGACTCATTACTTACTATAAACTTAAGTTTGAATCTACTATTTTCCAAAAATGTGAGGGGATTTGAGGATTTTTCCAACTGCTTTTCCAACAATCTTTCCCTACATTCTAAATCAGGGTTCTGAGGGCTAAAACTGGTTTTAACACTTTTCAATAGTTTTAGGGTATTTAAAGTAAAAAATGTTTTACTGTATTTTAAAATGTAAAAATCATTCTTCGCTCACTCAGCATTACAAAAATAAGCAGTCTTACAAAAAGAAGCAGTAGGCCTTTGCCTGTGAGCTGCAGTTTGCCAATCCTTGGTCTACATTAGAACAATTTTTAAAAGCAAAACTAATAAGGAAAAAATTTTTTACTTACTTCCTTAGAAGATAAAGGTTTAGATGCCAGGGAAAACCCATCTAAAATTTTGCCAACATACTGGATATCTTTTTCTGATCCTGCAAAGTGAATGTTATTAATTTTAGAGATATACTGTACTGTTTACAATAGTGTACCTTTTGTTAAAATTATGCATCACTTAAAAACAAGACAAAGATTTGTATAATAATGAAAGTTACAAAAGTAGAGCATAAATCCATCCCTCACACCTTTGTTGACTCAGTGCCTAGGTGGCACAACCCTACACCACCCTAATTTAAGTACACTATTCAGGACATAGGTCTATGTTTCTACATAGTTGAAAGGTCAACCAAAACAATGACATCTTAAAACTAAAAATATCTGGTTCATAAAATATTAGGTTCTATAAGTAAATAAGCACCTAAAAATATGCATTGAGTAAGAGATCTCTGCAATCAAGAGCACAAGAATTGACTTTAAAAAAAAAAAAAACGGTAACTATCACTTTGAGATAGTCCATACTAAAAATAGGTTAAAAAAAAAAAAACACATTTGGACTACTCTCGGAGTTTCCTAGCAACTATCCAAAGACAGTGTAATAAAACCAAAACCTCCCACAAGCTAATCACAGGAAAGAACAAAAGGTACTTTTACCTTCTCAAACGAAATTCTAATAAGATGACAATTTAGTTATATTTTTTTAATGTACATCTTTTTATTTTTATTTTTCTAATAGCAACATAGAAACAAATAATCAAAAAAACAAAATTAGAAATTGTCTGTCACTATGTAACAGCATTTGGTATTGCTAGGAGATACATGGGAGGAGATCCAAAACTGGAGAAGACCTTTGTCAGGATATCTCAGAATCTCCAGGCCACTATCTTTGGCTACTATAGGTACGAAACCATCAGACAATTTTACTTAGACACAACACTGTGTCTGCTGAATGTCACACCTAAGGGATACTTGGCACAGGAAGAGATGAACAGAATAAGGAAGCAACGCAAGCAGGAGACATAATACACACATTGGGCCAGATAATTATTTAGTTATATTCTTTGATTGGAAGGTACTATAAACACTTCAAACATTTATACGTGAATATAAATAAAAAGGTTCACAGAATCATAGATTTAGAGTTAGAAAGGACCTAAAGGGATATCTAATCCAACTCCTTCATTCTTCAGATGAAAAAACTGAGGCCCAGAGAAATTAAATGACTTGCCCAAAGTCACTTGGGTAATAATAAGTGTGAATTTGAACCCACATTGGGACACAAGCCAACGATCCCCAAACTGTACCATACTGTCTCCCTTTGAATAGAAGGCACTACAAACATCTCAAACATTCATATGTGTACCAAATATATATAAACTCACATGAGTTGTTCTAAAATTAGGGTTCTTAACCTGGAGTCCATGGATCCCAAAGAGGACTATGGATAGATTTTAGGGAAAAAAATTAAGTGGGGAAAAAAAGTCTTTATTTTCACTAACCTTTGGTTTCCTTTGTAATTCTATGTGCTTTGTTTTGTACAATTAAAAACACTATTCTGAAAGGAGGGCCACAGGCTTCACTAGACTGCCAAAGTAGTACATGACACAAAATAGTTAAGGAGACTTATTAGAAAATATCCTTTCATTTAGGGGCTAAGATCATAAGTTTAAAAACTATGCAAACTTGTTATTTTTTATAAATAATTTCAAAAACCTCCATAGATAGCTGAGTTTATTCAAAATAATCAGAAGACATTTGTTAGAATTAAACTATGTATATGGAATCATGCATTATTTATAAATATTGCAATTTCTGACAAGGATATACTAACTTCTTTAACAGCTAATAATATGACACCATCACATTATCAACATTTCCCATAAAAATCATCCCCCTGATATTCATGTATAGAAACTACCAGATAGATTCTGAGACCACTAACTGAAAAAAGAAAGAACTCATTGATCACCTGTTACGTGCTCGGCATTTTGATGGTGGAGTAAGACACAGTCCATGCCCTAAAGGTACTACTAATCTAACTAGGGAAATGAGAGGAATTCTTTAACTTTTTATATGTTCACAAAAGATATCACAAAATCAACAAGGATTAATTGTCAAACAAGCAGTAAAGTGCTATGGGTTCAGAGAATGGAGATATCACCAGGTATGCCCAGGAAAGGTTTGATATCCCAAACAGGGAAGAGGGTGAATTCTCTAATAGTTGAAAGAATTTATGGAGTCTGACCTAGAGAAGAAAAGAACTAGGGAGACCACAATAATTATGTTCAAAAAAGTAAAAGGACTATAATGGAAGAGGAATTAGATTTACTATATGTGACTCTAAAGAATAAAACTAGAAAGAACAGGCTGAAGTTTTTGGGAGGGAGATTTTTAGCTAAAAACAAGGGAGAATTTCCTAAAAGTCAGAGCTGTCTAAAAATAAAATGGGCTGCCTTCTGAAGTAGTGGGCTCCCTGCCACAAGGCAGTCTAGCGGATGAGATGATCATTTGTCTGTGATTTTGCAGAGGGAATTTAAGCATTAGGTAGAAGTTTGACTGAATGATTTCTAAGTTTCCTCCCAGCTCTAAGCATCTATGATGGGCATGGCCTCTCTAGTTCTTGGGGCTCTCTAACTCCTGAAGATGAAAGCAGAAAATTGATAATAGGGCATTGGGCTCAAATACTTAGAAATGAAATCAAAAAGTGTTAAGATCTGCCTACAAGAACCTGTTTTCCCCTTTCTTATTCTTTCTTTGCCAACTACTCCTAATTAACTATTCTCTCTCACAAATTCTGGATAAATCATGCTAGAACTGATTTTTTCCCCCTCAACAACAACCATGTAAAAAAATCTGGAACTGAGGCCTTGGGAGCATATGTTGAAAGAGAAGAGCTTTAAACATCTCCATACTTTTTGCTGTTAGTGACTTATATCTACTCCGCATTTCCCTTGTCTAGTTATGCCAGTTATTGTTCAAGTACTTGGTTCTAACCAGTGATCTTCCATGCCAATACATGTTCTAGGCTACTCACTTGATTCCAGATCCCTGGGCTGCACTGCATTCACTTGCCCCAGCCCCTAGCCCTTCTCATGTCTTTGTCCTATTCTGCCTTAGCTCTTCCAGTCTCATCTTAGTTCCTTTACTTCCAGCTCCTCACTCTCTACCACCTATAATCCCAATCCTGACATTTGGCTACCAAACTACATTTTTATTTATGACTAATAAAAGAATTACCATTTTCCTTACCTTGACACTCAATATCTATACTAAAGTTGTTATCTCTTAAAAATTACCTGTCCTGCTTTTATACTGCTTGGGTGCTGTCCAACCATAGAGTCCATCCCCAGGTTCCTCATCCTTCAAAACGGTATCATATTTAGATAATGTTTCTGTTGCATAGATATCATCATCTTCTTCTTCTAAAGCACCTACACCAAAAGCCTTAGAAGAAAAAATATTTAAAGTTGGATGAATGGAAGTATGTATGAGACACATCTACACTGAAAAATGATATGTAATTTTAAATATTTGATTGCAGATACTTTACTACACTTGTTTTACCAAATAAGGGACTTAAACACCATAGGGACATAAACAGGAGGCACTGAATTACTTTCTCTCTCTCTCTCTCTCACACACACACACACACACACACACACACTCCAAACTCCTAGCAAACTATGAACCAGTTGTCAAAGGTAAAGGAAGAATAGGAGACATGCAACCTGTAGAGCCAGGAGGCTAGAACTCTCAACTCAGAACTATTCAATATCAGAAAAGTGATCTTACAACACAAGGTTAGGTAGAGCACAGTTAAAAAGATGAGGAACCAAAAAGGTTTAAATGAAAGACAGTTTTCCTGTCCTTCACAAGGCTAATCTTGACTGTAAGAAACAGAACCCCAGGCTAACTGTGACCCTTCCACACCATCCAGTGATGGATCATAACCCTTAACCCAGACACACCTGAAACTAGGGAATGGTTCGAGTGTTGTGAAGGATGCAGCTATTACTGACTTTGTGGCACAATTCACTACCACCACTTTGGTATACACTATGGCCAAGACCCTGGGTAGCTCACAGCACAGCTTAGTACACAAAAATCCCATATGACACAAAGGAACAAAAGTACAGCACACAGAAGGAAATATACCCAGGAACCCCAAACTCCTGAAGTTGTACTGCCCTGCTATAAAAAAAGTCTCACTGGACTTTCTCTCCAAGCCCCTTCAAGGACCATACGCTCCAGCCCCAGCATAATGAGCCAGCCTAGAATACAGCCCTGCTTCTCCCTGCCAGACATGGTATCTGCTGGCTGCAGGCATGCCCAACATAAAAAGAATCTGGTGTCCTCTAGCATGACTCCTGGCAGCCAATGCTGCCTTGCTATTCCACCACAGCACAACTATTCCGTGCCTTCCTAACTGTAGTAGTACACAGATTACAGAAAAGATGAGTGCAAGAATAATACCCACCTTGCTAAAGAATAATAATCAAGAAATGATAAACATAGCATTTATTAATTGTCTACTGTCTAAAGCATAAAAAGTATATAGGTTGCTCAAAATCTTGTTAAAATCTCTGACTAGGGTTAAGAAGACTTGTGATTGGCAATGGCAGATTATCTTTAAAGGAAACAACTTGTCCCCCTCTCTTTAGTATGAAATGTAAGCCAATATACTGGCTGTCTTTTATTTTATAAATGAGGAAGCTGAAGTATTACAGACGAGCCTGTCTAAAGTATTTCACAAATCTCACTTACATGTCTACACATCAAAAAAAAAAAACAAAACAAAACCATTACGGTGAGAATGAGGTCAATTCTGTTTTGAATTTTTTTAATGTAAAATTATATTTCTCAACAAAAGTAAGTATAATGAAGCAGTCATCTCCAGTAAACATATATATGTTAAGTACATTAAGGAAAGTATATTCATTTGCAATGACTGAATATTTATAAACTAGTAATGCTTTAACCTGTCCCGAAATTCCAAGTTTTCTTCCTTTATTTGGTCTAATGCTTCCAAGAAGATTGCTGGTCCCCTCAGATACATCACTGAAAAGATTAAAGTGCTCCCCTGAAATTCCAAATAATGCTTTCTGTGGATCTAGGCCCTTATAAGCAAGGCCATGAACATTGTCTTTAGGAGTGAAATCCACTGGAGTTGTATCTTTGGGTGCAAAGGTCACATTATCTGGTAAATAGTCATCATCATCCTCCTGCAAAAATATTTAAAGAAATAAGGTACATCAATATATAGTAAAACTAAGACTATTTATAAATATAATAATTAATTCTAAAAAATTATAAGTGCTTTATTAAATGACTACATTAGATCTATGACAAACGACTATATAATCATGTTTCAAACAGTAAACACTAAGTACATACTATGATGCAGAGTACTGTGAATATGAAACTATTATTATTATCGTTGATAACCTAACTCACTCCAAATCTTATCTCATCAACACACACACATCACTTTAAGATTTACAAAATATTTTCCTAATAGTCCTGTGAGGCAGGTAACATAAGCATTCCCACCCACTTCACAGATGAGGACACTGAGGCTCAGAGAGGTTAAGTAATTTGTCCCGAATCACACAGTCAGTCAATGTAGAACCAGGATTTGAACCCAGGTTTCACAAAGGCTCCACACTGAAGGTTATTTCTACTTGACTATGATGCCTCTATGATAGACCCTGTTCTTAAGGATTTTGTACTTTTAATTTAGTATACCCGATTGTAAATTAACTACCTTTTGAGAATGTTAATGTTTAATGTATTGGAATTTTGCTCTACTTTCAATTGCTTGAAATAACTGGATTGTTTGAAATTTTTTTAACATCCTATATATGTGTCTGTGTTGGCACTGGCTGGTATCAGCCTAGATCCTTCAGGTCTCTTAACCCTTCAATCTTCACTAAAAATTCCAAGATTCTAAGATTTGAAGTACTCAAGGTTCTTAAGTACTAATAAGAAAGTGTTCTGGGACACAAGTTATAGTCATCATTTAATAGCTCAAGAAAAGGTGCACATTAATGTGTCGGGGATGTGCAGAATGGATTAGAAGGACTCTAGAGGTGAAACCAATTACAGCATTCTAAATGTCAGGTGATCTAGGTACTTGGAGTGGAAAGGAAAAGATAGATTTAATTGAGATTGTAAAGGAAGAATCAAGAGAACTTGGTGACTGATGAGTTATGAAACAAGAGAAAGGAGTTGAAGATTACTCCAAGGTTTCAAAGTGGGTGCCTAAGTGAATGTGATGGCACTAAGAGAAACAGGGGAGAAACAGTCAACTCAGGAACTGGCTAAGGGAAGAGAGAGAGACAGCAAATTTAGTGCTTCTTAATGTTAAATTTGAAGTTATAGGAGAACATTTAAGTAAAAATATTCAGGTGTTAGAAACACAAGACTGAAACGTTTCTTATCTTGTTCTGTATTCTACCACAAAGCTTTCGCCTATCCCCTAGGAACCTCAATATAAATTACTTATGTCTTGAGCTCTGACCTCTGGCCCCAGCCCGAGTCTCACATTTCCAAATGTTTGCTGGACTTTTTCACATGGATGCCCTACTAGCATCTCAAACTCATCACATATATAAGCTAACTTATTATATTCTATCTACCCCCTACTCCAAATCAGTTCCTCTTCTTGATTTTCCAAAGTTTTAATGGCACCACAATTCTCCTAGTCATCTGAGCTTGAAACCGTAGTTATCTTTATTTGCTTCCTTTTTTTCAGAGTCCACTCCCTTTCCTAACTAATCACTAAGACCTGTCTGTTATTTCTTCCAGAATTCTCCCAAATCTGCTATCAACTTATATGAGACTCTCACTACTTCAGACCAGACAACTGCGACAACTTTCTAATTGGACAATTGTGATATCACTAGATTCTCTCCCCTCTTGTTCATTTTGCACACTACTACTCAAATTATTCTTTCTCTATCATCCTTTTAAATATAACACTATTCTGCTGAAGAATGGCTCCCTCTCTACAGTATAAATTTCAAACTCCTAAGCCTGGCATTCAACACTCTTTGACATGGCCCTAACTAAGCTTTCTAGCCTTCTCTTTTCACTCATGTATATGAACGTTATATTAAGGTCAAACTATACTGCTTATCTTCTCCCAAATACATTGTTCATTCCCATCCCGTGCCTTTGCTTGTGCTGATCTGTTTGCCTATAATCAATAGCCCACCCCCAACTCTACTATTTATTGGAACTCTTTCTACACTTTAAGGCCCAGATTAAATGCCACATTTTTTATAATGCCTTTCCTGATCATCCCAGCTCAAAGTGGTGCCTCCCTGCCCCCTGTGCTCCTACAGCATTTGGACTGCATCAGACCAAAGGCATTTACCATGTACTGTTTTGTATGACAGAAATTTCTGTTTGTATGTTTTAACCTGCCATGTTAGGCTTTAAACTCCTTGATGGCAAAGGCTTTTAAAGGCTTTTTTGTAGCCTTCAGAGGATAGTGCCCAGCACAAAATAAGGACTTAAAGCTATGTTGAAAGAACACATGAATGAGCTTTAGTGCAAGAACTCTATCCTCTGTTTAGGTCACATAGCAATGTATTTTTCTTTTTTTCTGTCTCTCAGCTGTGATCCAAAGTGCTAAGGTTGTTAGATAAGGTCACATAAAACTAATGTTACTATAAAATAATTATAACAAGCATACAGTGTGCATTTAATACACCTTTTTTGATGGTTGAAAACAGATTTTTAAAGTGGTTACTTAAAAAAATGCTAAGGATCCTATTTCTATTTTGAAAATTACAATGAGAGGGGCAGCTAGGTGGCACAGCAGATACAGCACCGGCCCTGAAGTCAGAAGGACCTGAGTTCAAATCCGGCCTCAAACCAAACACTTGACAGGTACTAGCTGTGCGACCCTGGGCAAGTCACTTAACCCCAACTGCCTAAAGAGAAAAACAAAAAAGAAAAAAGAAAAAAGAAAATTACAATGACAACAGAACATTAATGAACCTACACAATACCTCTGATCCTTCAGAACCAGTAGGGGGTAAAGCGCAACCATAGATTTTTACTCCAGGAACTATAAAAGACATTTGAAAATAGTTAGTCACATAACATTAAAATAGGCTGTCATTCCAGTCAATCATTATTTAGCACATTTTTAAAAGAACTCATCATTAATACTCTTTTAAAAGGTACGTGATACACTTTAAACAGCAATACAAGCATTGAGTATATACTTCAAGGAGATTAAGATCAGAAAGATCCCAAACACACAAAAAAATTAAAAGCGGCACTTTTGTGGTAACAAACAACTAGAAATAAAACAGATGTCCACTGACTAGAGAATGGCTAAACAAATTGTGGCACATCAAAGTTCTGGACTATGACTGGGGTGTATGAAATGGTGACTATAAAGAATTCAGAGAAGCACATAAAGACTTAGATTAACTGATGCCGAACAAAGTAAGCAGAATCAAGGAGACAATATTCATGACTGTAAAATGGAAATGGAAAAAAACAAAAAAGTTAATGATTTGGGATTATAATAATAACATTTGGCTCTAGAGATGAGTTGAGAAAATGCACCTCCTTCCCTTCACTGAAAAGGTGGGCAACTATGGGTATAGATATTGTATATACTGTCACACATAATATACATTCATTAGTTTTGCTGAACTGATTTTTTTCTTCTCTCTTTTTTAATGTTATAAGGGATGACTCACTGGGTAGGGGTAACAGATATATTTGGATTTGAATGTGACAGAAACAAACTACATCAATAAAAATAATGTAAAATGAACAATAATTAAAATAAAAAGACCCAGGTAGGAAATGTATGATAGCCCCCCCAAAAGAGGGAAAGGCATATTCACAAAAATATTTATAGCAATATTTTATTGGGCAGCAAAGTGGGTGCCCATTGACTGCAGGATGGCTGAACTGTGACATATGAACATAATAGAACATTATATTACCATAGGAAACAACAAATATGAAAAAAAAAAAATTCAAGAAGGCATATATAAACCGATACAGAGCAAAGTAAACAGAATCAAGAAAACCATCTATACAAGTAGCCACAATAACGTAGTAGAAAACACCGAAAGACATCAGAACTCTGGCCAAAGAGGTGACCAATCTTGATTTCAGAAGACTGACAGTGAAATATGTTGCCCTCTTTCCAGTAAACAGATAAAGGACTGACAACAGGCCAGAATGAAGTATGCATTTTCAAAGATGGTCCTTGTGTTGGGATTTATTTTGCCTGACAGCAACCTTTTGTTAAAAGGGAGGGTAACACTGTGAAGTGAAAACAATGCAAAAATTTTCAATAAAATATTTATTTAAAAAAATAAGGACACATAGTGAATACAACAATAGACTATGCATGGTTGGGGGGAGTGGGGCAGGAAGGTCCGTATATAACTTGTACAATGTGACTGGTAAGATTATAGATACCTCTGTGCTTGTTACCAGAACAAGAAGCAACAATTTACATAGCTATCTAAACTTTAGAGTTTACAAAGTGTTCCCTTTATAACAGCTCTGCGCTACAAGTAGATGGAAACACAAAGGATTATCACTATCACTTTAGAGATAAGGACACTTATGCTCAGAAAGATTAAGTGGTTTGTCCCCTGGGTCACAAAACAAGTTAATGTCATATGGCATTAGAAACTGTATCCTTCCAGACACAGCCATTCATTCACTTAACATTTATTAAGCACCTGCAACGCACATGACTAGGTGCTGGTCATACAAAGACAAAAATTGACCCAGGCCCTCAAGAACAAACAAACGTAAGTATAAGACAAGGTAAGAAATGGTAAAGGTAAAGGATCCAGAGAAAGTGCTCTCTTCCCATGATCCCAAACCACACTAGAATTTCTGCAGTAGTGGTACAGGATGAATTCCTCCAGTCAAGCATTTACTGAGCAGTTAACTGTCCCCTGCCCATTTCCTAGGTACTATGGAGGAAGCAATGTTTAAGACATTTGGTTTCAGCCCTTGAGAAATATCTAACCTAATCAGAGAGACAAAACTAATATACATCAAACAATTAGAAAATAGTATGGCTCTTCCCTCCTTTCATTGCAGGGGTGGGGGAAGGGACACAACTATGTATGTTGTTAATTTTTTTAATCTTTTTTTTTTTACCTCTTATAAGAGAAGGTTTACTGAGCAGAGGAGGAGGATGTTATATTTGGAAATGAATTTGATGTGAAACAAAAGGCAGCAATAAAAAAAATAGGTAAAGTGCAATGGTCTTAAGTTTTGAATTAGCAGTATTTGTAGTATGGAATGATGAATATGAATTATTCAGGGAAACTTGGATAGATTTATAAAGTGACCCAGAGTAAGAAAAAAAACAGGGCCAACAGAACAATACTCAGGGGCAGCTAGGTAGCACAGAGGGTAGAGCATTAGCCCTGGAGTCAGGAGGACCTCAGTTCAGATCCAGCTTCAGACACTACTAGGTCACTTACTAGGTGACCCTGGGCAAGTCACTTAACCTCAGTTGCCTCCAAAAACGATCAAAAAAAGAACAATATTCACAATAACTGTGACAACGTAAATGAAAACAACACTAAATGGCAACAAGTCTCAGGTCAAATACAATGGAAAACACTCAAACCAAATTATTAAAATCAAAGTACACATCCTTTCTTTCTGTTAACAAATAGCATCTGGCTAAAGCAAAATGTGACATGTTACTATAAACTGCAACCACTCTTTTAGCTAGGGTTTGTCTTGCTGTGTTTAGGAAATACACTTTGTTGGAGGTTAGTGGGAGGGTAGATGTCTACTGTGTCAAAACAAAATGTATCAATTAAAAATCAGCAATAGTGACTAAAGGAATTCTGAAAAAAAGATAAAACCAGGTAGACAGGATGGTCAGAAGAGACCTCATAGAAGTAGGACTTGAGCTGGCTTTTGAAGAATTTGACTAGGAAAAGGTGGTAAATTATAGTTTAGAGACTGCATGATACAACCATAACCCATTTAAGAGGGAATGAGGAGATAAGTCTATCTCTAATGGAAAGGCTTTGTGTTTAGCTGAAGTGGATAATAAGGGGCAGCTAGGTGGTGCAGTGGATAGAGTTCCAGCCTTGGAGTCAGGAGAACCTGAGTTCAAATCCGGCCTCAGACACTTGACACTTACTAGCTGTATGACCCTGGGCAAGTCACTTAACCCCAATTGCTTCACCAAAAAGCAAATGAAGTGGATAATAAGACTACACACGTATGACTTGATTATGGAATGCCTTCAATGTACAGCAGAGAAGTTTACACCTGATATAGCAAGAGCTTTTAATCCTTGAATAGAGAAGTGACATTTAGAAACCAACTTTTCAGAAGATAAATATGGTAACTGTGTTCAGGATGAGTTAAGAAGCAGGGTACATATTTGAGGTAGGAAAGTCAATAAGAAAACTATTGTAGTAATCCATGTGTACGGGATAAGATATTAAATTAATCTGGTGGTAAAAGGAATGGAATGGGACAGATGAAACTACTATTTTCCCAGTTGCCCAGATTCAAAAACACCTCTGCACACAGCAGGAATTTACTAAATATTCATTCAGTTGAATCCTTCATTCCTATTTCTCTTTTTTCCCACCTCCAGTCATCAAGTCCTACCAACTGGTCCATTGAAACTATCTTTTCATATTCCTCTCATAAAATAAAAGCAGAAAGATCAGGACAGAGAATTAAGATATACTCATTATTAGAATAACTGAATAAACATTTTTTAAATTTCTTATATATCCAAAGCCCGGGGCTAGGACCTAGGGATATAAAGATGAAACAAGACATACTCCTTGCCTTCGAGGAATTTATGATCTGGTAGAGAATACGTAAGATATAGATAATTAACTTCAATGAGAAACTGAATAAATTAGGAGACAAAAAGAAGGGGAGCCAGCATGTTCATAAAGGTAGAATCAGGCAAGTGTAGTCCTAAGGAAGATAAGTTTTATAAAGTGGATAGCTGCAATAATCAAATGCTACACAGATATTAAAGATCAGAAGAAAAAAAAAAGGCATTGGATATGGCAGGAAGGTGGTCACTGGTAACTTTTAAAAAAAATAGTTTCAGTAGAATACTTAAGGCAGAAGCCAAATTACAGGAATTAAGTGATTAAATGGGGCAGCTAGATGGCACAGTAGATAGAATGCCAGGCCTAGAGTCACACAGAAGACCTGAGTACAAATCTGGCCTTAGACACTTACTAACTGTGTTACCCATGGTAAGTCATTTAACCCTCTTTGCCTCAGTTTCCTCATCTGTAAAATGAGCTGGAGAAAGAAATAGTAAACCACTCCAATATCTTTGCCAAGAAAACCCTAAATGGGGTCATGAAGAGTTGAATATGATTAAAATGACTGAACAAAAGTGAATGAATAAACAGGAAACTGAACTAATGGGTGGTAAAAGGAAGTAGAAAAACTAAATCATTTTTCAAAATAAGGCTAAGGGAGAGCCAAGCATTTCTGAAGGCAGAAGGAAAATATTCCATGATAAAAAGAATAGCAAAGATTCTCAGAAACACAGGATTAAGATTCCAAGAGAGATAGAAAGAATTGGGATCCATGGTATAAGGTAGAAGCATTAGCTTTAGAAAGAAGACAAAATGATTCATCCCCTGAAACTAGAGAAAAAGACCAAGGGAATAACTATATGGCCAGAGATACAATGAAGAACAGGACTAAGAAAGAGTTCAAGATGAATGGTCTTGATTGTTCGCTGTAAAGGAGTCAGTTATCCCCTGAGAATAAGAGCATGAGAGAAATGAGGGACTTAAAGGGAAAGAAAAGTAACTGATGTGGGAAGTTTGATAGCAAGTTTGTCAAGAAGAGACAAAATAAAGGGACTGATGCCAGAATGAAGTCTAAAAGCATGAATTTCTAATGAGTCACTTCTACATGGTTTTATCTTCCTCCAACAACATTCTGTGGGTGTGGGGCAGGAGGAGAGAGTCACTGGAGGTGATCCAGGACTGAGACTGTTGTGTCAGTGAAGAAGGACAGGCACTTTGAAATGGATAGTTACCCTTAGGATTAGTGTATGGCCATAATACAGTAACTAGACTTCAAAGGGAAAGAACCTTAGCCTCATTAGTTATTTCTCTAACTTCTGAAGTGATTAGCTGATTTGAGCTCACTGGAGGCTTGAATTTAATATTAAACATACACACCAGGTTTTTGCCTACGTGGCTTTCTCTTTACTCGAGGACCAATTCCTTGTCCTTCTTTCCAACCCATTTTTCGTAACAATTCAAAACCAATGGATAATCTAAAAGGAATAAATATTATGTGGTGACTTAAACAGAAATTCTATAGACAACATACAAAAAATTATAAAGGCAGAAGTGCTACAAGAAGAAGTAAATTTTAAATGAAAAATTCTACTCACTTTGCTGGTGCTATTAAGTCATCTAGTAAAGTGGCTCCAGGTATAGGTGCAGCAGCCGCAGCTAACTGCCTGGCCTTTTCTCTAATTCTATCTTTGGTTTTAGAAGCAAAATCATCTGTAGTAACAATTGCCTTAGGTGCAATCCCAAATTCACTAAGATCCTTTAAAAAAAAAAAAAGACTCCTTTTTGGTACTGAACTATAAAACAGACTTGAGATCTACAAAATAATGAAGTTTTAAGATGAAATTTAAGAACTAAAAATAGTGTGAGATACAAAACTCAAATATACAGCAGTATAAATATATACATCTATAAAGCAGAGCCTTACAGACACCAATGGACATCAACAGAAACCACCTTATTTATCTTTAAACTTCTTGAATGGGGAGTATTATTTTGAGCCACACAGAACCTAACACAGAATACACATTTAGTTAAGGCTACTTAGCAATTATAGTTTTGTAAACCTACCTCTTCATCCATAAAATCTTCTGGACCAAGAACAGCTTTTTCTGCTCTGTTTTGTCTTGAAGATATAAAGGTAGAGGGCGTCCATCCTTGAAAAATAAAAGTTAAAAATTTTACCAAGAAAATGTATCTAAATTTTAAGAGCCAAAAAGAAATACTACTAATACATAACTCAAAATTATGCAGGACTTTACAAAAAATTGGCCTTATAACAAACATTTCTATAAGGTAGATGTTACAAACATCATTAGCCTCCATTTTCCCAAGTTAAGGCCCAAAGTTAAGGCTTAAAGAGGTTATGTTACTTACTCAAAGTTACAGAGTTATTAATGTTAAAGCCAGGAGTCAAACCCACACATTCCATTCCATCTTCTAACCTATCATGCCTCCTTAAATGAAGCCATTTCAAATACGAATTGTAAACAAAGGAAAAAAACAAAATAGATTACCTCTGGAGATATGCTTACCATTCAAGCACATTTTTAAAACTGCTATGGAAGTAACAAAAGAACTTAAAATACAAGTTTTTTTTAAAAAATGTTATATAGTATGGATATGGCTTAAAACATAAGATCTCATAGTTCTATCAACAAGGAGAAAGGTCTTACCCTCTTTTGAGCCAACAGTATTGAAGTATCCAGCAGAGAAACCTCCACTAAAGGCTCCATGAAACCGCTTGTATCTTCCTTTTTCATCTCTAACTGTCTGATCCTGAATGGGAAGTGGTTTCTTTGGTCTTTCACCTATTTAAAAGACACACACACACACACACACACACACACACACACAGAGTAAAAGGGGAAAGAAAAGGGAAAAAGAAAAGTCACTCAAGGAAAATGTTTCTTCTTAAACAAAATAAACTTAAATTTCTTCCTATTTCAGATGACAATTACATACCAAAAGTAATGTTACCTTTCCTAAAATTTTATTGTCTTTGGGATTCATTTTATCAAGCTTCTCTACTCCATGAGATATATATAGGTATAATATGTTTTAGAGAATATGCATGTTCTAGTAAAGTTAAATGCCAACCAAAAACCATTAAAACCTATTATGTACCACTGTGCTAGGCTCTGGGACTATAAATGACAAAATAAAACAAATCCTACTTTCCAAGTAAGTTATATCACCTAGGGAGAAAAACTCCAATAAACCAAGTTGCAGTCTTCTGGTGAAGAAGGGGTAAAGATGATGGACCTGCCCATAACACGTCCCATTTTATAATTATGTTTATTTTACAGCAGTAATTCACTCCACTTTCAACTCTGCAGCATCCTTCTAAGTCCCCAATCCTCCCCCTGCTATTGATCCATTTTTTAGATCACAGTGACAGCCTCTTGCTTGCGAAGATTCTACAAGTCCAGTCACTGTTACTAGACGTTAGCTCTCTTCTTTCACCTTTGTTCCAGGTAGATAGAATGTCCTAAAGAAGCAGACTGAAATCACACAACCAGCAAGGACTATCTAACATTGGATCGTAGATTCAAAGGTCGAAGAGACCTTAATGGGCTATCAAGTACCATCCCCTCATTTTACAGTTGAGTACTCTCAGGCACAGAGAGATTAAATGACTTTCCCAGCATCACACAGCTCCTAAGTATCTGAGGTTAGAGTTGAACCCTGGTCTTCCTGACTCCAAAATCTAATGTCGTATCCACTATGCTAAAATTTTGCCCCTCTACATATTACAGCCAAGTCCGAAATTAAGTAATTTTCAATACAGCAAAATAAATCAATTCTCTCTGTATGCATGCCAGAAGTTCAAAATTCTCCAACTGAGTTTATTTAAAATAAGGGTTGTCATTAAAGACTGAAGGCAGCTAGACGTCACAGTGGATAGAATGTCAGGACTAGCATAGGGAAAACTCATGTTTACAAGTTCAAATCTGGCCTCACACACTTACTAGCTATGTGACTCTGGGCAAGTCAGTTAACCCTGTTTGCCTCAGTTTCCTCATCTGTACAAAGGGCTGAAGAAGGAAATGGCAAACCATTCCAGTATCTTTGCCAAGAAAACCACAAATGGGGTCACAAAGAGTTGGACACAACTAAAAAAAAAAAACCAACCAAACAACAATTGTCTTTAAAGATTAGGGCCTGGGTAACACACCAAGTTTGCTATCCAAAGCAAAGACAAATCTAGGTAAGCACAGAGAATTTAATCATCAGTAGAATGGCAATTACATGAAAGATTCTTTGGTCATGGAAATTCAAGAAGTAAAAAGTGGCCTTCAGATAATGGTAGAGAAGAAGGGAAAGGATACTAACAATCACACAGTTCCTAGATCATCTAGAAACATAACTTGACTGCTCATATTCTAAGTGTCAATTTAGAATTAGTTATTCCAATAACCAATGAATTAACATGGAAGAAATGTATGTTAATTTTTTTTTAAATAAACGAAACCAGAAAGTTAAAGAAAGTTACAGCCAAAGGAAAGATTCTCTTTGGAGAGGTAAAAAAGTCAGAGGACTTAATTTCATGGTGTGCTCTAAGGCAAAAAGAAACAATATTTCACAGGTCACTTGGTCATCTGGTATTGCAAGGCTTATGATGAGCAGAAGCAAAAATGCCACCATAAAGATCATTACAGTTCTATAGCAATATTTGTTGCAGAAGATGGGAAAGCAGAGAAATTCTATGAGGAAATTGATCAGACCCCCCCAATCAAGTTAACATATACTTTTAATACCCGTGAGTATTACAAAGTAATACAAAGGTGAGTACAGGATGTGAGAAGGTGGTGATAAACACATTGGAAACTTGGTTTAGTATTTGAAATCAAAGGGGTCAAATGCTGGTAGCCCCTGAATATCTACTTCAAGGAAAGAAAGGAAGCACTACACAAAGTAAGCATCAAATATTACCGTCCAAAATGAAATTGATCATATTTTGACAGAAAACTACTGGTTACTGACAGATGAGTCATCTTTGAGTCAGCCATTTGTGGTACAGTCAGAACAATGACCCGTTACAGCAAAAAACCAAAATCAATATCAAATAAGAAAGAATACAAATGAAAAGACATGGCTACAACAGAGCTGGGATTCCAACATAAGTCTCCTAACACTTGACCTAGAAGCCTTTCCATTTTACCATGACACTACAAATTTGCTTGAGTGGGAAAGGCTTCCAGAAAGACGGAGTATTTGAGCCGGGCCTGGAAGGATACAAATGTACAGGTAGTAGGGGAAGGGCATTCCTGATGAAAAAGAGAACATGAGCAAATGCAGGGAGTAAGAAAAGGTCAAGGGACATGTGAAAACAGAAAATAATTCACTTTAACTGTAGTACAGGGGAACAGTGAGAAATAAGACTGGAAAAATACAACATAGAAAAAACCAACTTATGGGTGTATATCTATTATGTAAACAATGAGCACACAATGAACATTTTTAAGAAGTGATAAAACTGAAATATTATATTTAAGAAGATTAATCTTATAGCTGTATGAAGGGAGGTTTGGAAGAGCGAGTTCATTTGATGACAAGTGGAGATAGAGGGGGGGACCCGAGGATAAACTGCAGGACTTGGAGTTAAGAAGACCTGAGTTCAAATTCTGTCTCAGACATTTACTTAATTCTGTGACCCAGGGCAAATCAAATCAACCCCTCCCACAGAGTTTCCTCATCTGTATAATGAGACTAAAGATACTACCCATTTCATAGGATTATTGTGAAACTCAAAGGAGATGATAACACGTAAAGCACTCAGCAAACCTTAAAGTGCTATGTAAATGCTATCTATTTTAAGTGGAAAAAACAAAAAGATAAAGTCTGAAAGGAAAGATAATGAATGCTAGTGCTTCCTCTTATCCCAATTAAGATCCTAGGATAATTAGCAATTGCCTCTAGGTTTAAGATTAATTCTCAATCAATAAATCTTTATCAAAGTTTAGCTTTGAAATATCAATCAGGCCTTAGGAGGCCTTCATCTAGCTACATTCATCTAACCTGTCCCTAAAACTTCAAAGATGGGAGTTAAAGTAGTTATCTTTCTGACATGAAATTACTTTTTGTAATCCTCCTAGTACTTTTAGACTTCAAAGTGTTTAGAAAATACTAATTAATCTTCAAACTTAAGTTATGTAGCCTTTTCTAAGCCAGAGAGGAAGTACAACTACAAATCTACTTCCCAATTTAATATTACAGTTCGGACGAAAAAATCCCATCTCCTACAAGATTTTCCCAGTGACGCACTAAAGAAAGAAGAGGAAAATATAAAGCAAATACTTCAGTTGCTAACATCACCTTTCATACTTCATGAACAAGCAAATTAGGGATTATAAATAAAAAAGATTATATGAGCATCTAAATAATAAAAGTGCAATGTTATTCTTCACACCCCATGGGCCCTGCTCTGTGCCTATTCAAGTCCTACCCAACTTTAATCCAATCTAATCCTATACACATTTATTACATGCTTACTACACACAAGGTGCTGAGGTATGTGCTGGAAGTAAAAAGATAAACTTAAAAACAGTACCTCCTTTAAGTGGTTTACTTTCGACTGAGAGGCTAAACATTTACAGAGTGACTACAAGATAATCTGAGGAGGGAAGGAACAAGAACTAGGAGAATCAGAAAAGGATTCCCATTCATGTGGTAGCTTATGAGGTGAGTCCTGAAGGAAGCTAAGGATTTTAGGAGGCAGAGGTAAAAAATGCTAAATGTTATAGGGAATGAGCAACGCAGAGAAATAGAAGAAATAAGAAAATGGGAATAAGAGGTCTCTTCAAGAAAATTAGAGTTGTTAAGGAAAAGTCATACAAAAATGGGCATGATAAAAGACAAAAAAGTAGGAATTTAACAGAAGGAGAAGAGATTAAGAAGAGGCGGCAAGAATGTACAAAAGAACTATACAAGAAAGAGCTTAACATCACCAATAATCAAAATGGTGTGGTTACTGATCTAGAGCCAGACATCCTAGACAGTGATGTCAAATGGGCCTTAAGAAGCATTACTAACAACAAAGTTAGTGGAGGTGATGGAATTCCAGTTGAACTACTTAAAATCCTAAAAGATAATGCTGTTAAAGTGCTGTACTCAGTATGCCAGGAAATTTGGAAAATTCAACATCGGCCGCTGGATTGGAAAAGATCAGTATACATGCCAATCCTAAAGAAGGGTAAGGCCAAAGAATGCTCACATTACTGAACAACTGAGCTCATTTCACATGCCAGCAAGGTTATGCTTAAGATTCGGCAAGTTAGGCTTCAGCATATGTGAACTGAGAATTACCAGATTAGGCTGATTTTCAAAGAGGCAGAAGAACTAGAGACCAAATTGCCAACATTCACTGGATTATGGAGAAAACAAGGGAGTTTCAGAAAAACATCTACTTCTGCTTTATTGACTATACTAAAGCCTTTGATTATGTGGATCACAACTAAATGTGACAAGTCCTCAAAGGGATGGGAATACCAAATCATATTACTTGTCTCTTGAGGAACCTGTATATGGGCCAGGAAGCAACAGTTACAACAGAACATGGAACTGGTTGGTTTAAGATTGGAAAAGGAGTACGACAAGGCTATCTATTGTCACTTTACTTATATATTTTATATGTAGACCACATCACGTGAAATGCCAAACTGGATAAATCAAAAGCTGGAATTAAAGTTGCCTAGAAAAATAACAATCTCAGAAATGCAGATGATACCACTCTGATAGCAGAAAGTGAAGAGGAAATAAGAAGCTTTTTGATGAGGGTGAAAGAGCAGAGTGTTAAAGCTAGCTTAAAGCTTACCATCAAAAAAACTAAGATCTTGGCAACTCATCCCATCACTTCCTGGCAAATAGAGGGAGAAGAAATGTAAGCAATGTCAAATTTTATATTCCTGGGCTCAAAGATCACTGCAGATGGCAACTGCAGCAATGAAATTAAAAGATGCTTGCTCCTTAGAAGGAAAACTATGGAAAATCTGGACAGCATACTAAAAAGCAGACACATCACCTTGCAGACAAAAGTCTGTATAGTCAAAGCTATGTTTTTCCAGTAGTGATGTATGGCTATGAGAGTTGGACTATAAAGAAAGCTGAGGCTGTCAAATTATGGTTCTGGAAAAGATTTCTGAGACCCCCTCAGACAGCAAGGAGATCAAATTATTCAACATTTAAAGAAATTAGTTCAGGCTATTCATGGGAAGGTCAAATACTGAAGCTGAAGCTTAAATACTTTGGCCACATAATGAGAAGACAAGACTCATTGGAAAAAAACCCTGATGATGGAAGAAGATTGAAGGCAAAAGGAAAAGGGGATAACAGTAGATGAGATGGATAGATAGTATCATGGAAACAAGGAACATGAACTTGGACAGACTTCAAGAAATAGTGGAGAATAAAAGGCATGCTATGGTCCATGGGGTCACAAGGAGTCCTACATGACAGAACAATGATGCTGCTGCTACTATTGCTGCTGCTACTACTAAGACAGCTTATTACATTTTTGTTTTCCCCAGAATGAAACCTGTGAGGTGAGACCTCACCAATGAGTAAGAAATTAAAATTGTGGAATTCATTGTTTTATTCAAGTGTACAGTTCAGTCACCTATCAGATTGGCTAATATGACAAAAAAAAAAAAAAGAAAATGATGGATGTTGGAAGGGATGTGGGAAAACTGGGACACTAATGCATTGTTGGTGGAGTTGTGAAGGGATCCTACCATTCTGGAAAACAATTTGGAACTATGCCCAAAGGGGTATAAAACTGTGTATACCCTTTGATCCAGCAATATCACTACTAGGTCTGTATCCCAAAGAGATCACAAAAAAAGGAAAGGACCCACATGTACAAAAATATTAATAGCAGCTCTTTTTTGTGATAGCAAACAATTGGAAATTGAAGGGATGGCCATCAATTGGGGAATGGCTGAACAAGCTGAGGTATACGACTGTAATGGAATATTATTGTGCATTAAGAAATGATAAGCAGAATGATTTCAGAAAAAACCTGGAAAGATGTATATGAACTGGTACAAAGTGAAGTGAGCAGAACTAAGAGAACACTGTACACAGGAACAGCAATATTGTACAATGAAGAACTGTCAATGCCACAGCTATTCTCAGCAATACCATGATCCAAGACAATCCTAAAGGACTCCTGATGAAAAATGCTATCTGCCTCCAGAGAAAGAACTGAAGTTGTCTAAATACAGACTGAAACATACTATTTTTTCACTCTTTCTTTTTTTGTTCAAGGATTCTTGTACAAAATGACTAATGTGGAAATATTTTACATGATTGCGCATGTATAAGATATATCAGATTGCTTATTGTCTCGGGGATGGAGGATGGGATAGAATTTGGAACTCAAAACTTTAAAAAAAAAAGTTAAAAATAGTTTTTACACGTAATTGGAAGGAAAATAATAAACACTTGGTTGGGTTTTTTCAATTGCTTATGATTTAGTTCAACAAGTAGTAAATGTGCCTTATGTGACCAGAATTACCCTATGCAATATTTGATAAGGTTTTTAACATACTTTCAAAAAGTTTGCAGTCTACTACTACTATTAGTATAATAGTATAATTAAACTATTAGTATAATAGTAGTGGTGGTAGCAGCAGCAGATACTGGTAGTCACTTAATAAATGTCTCATCCCCCCTGCTGGGAAGAAAATCCCAAGATCTGTTTTATCTAAATACTATGTATTTATCTGCAGTCTATCACCCAATGTTAATGATGGAAATTACCAAGAGCAATCACGGGATGGATCAGAAGACTGAAGCAGAGAGAGGCTAGGGAGCTGCTCCCAAACTTCAGGTGCTCCTACCACTACTGAGTCTTAACGCAATTTTAAAATATCTTAAGAGAGTCTAAATACACAGTGCCACAGAGGCGGCGTGCAAAAGCCTCGAAGGAGCCTTCCACGATTAAAACTTAGAGCTGCATGCCCTAAGACTCAAGGCAACTTTCGCCAAGGGAATTAAACAAACAAAAACACCACCAAAACACAAAAACCCCAAACCCAGAGTCCTCTGACCCGGGCACCCATTTGCACAAACTTAAACTCGAACGCCGCGGGGGAGGGGGAGGGGCAGCCTGCCCAAGAGAAGAGGCCGGGAGGAGGTAAGAGGGGCTGCACGACCACTCCTGCCCCTGCAGGCAGGCGGCCGCAGCTGCACGTGCCGCTCTCCGGGGCGCGGCCCCCTCCTCCTTCCAGGGGTCGCCGGGCTTCCGGAAGACACCCCGCCTCCCCCTTACTCCCGCCTCCAGGGGACTCCCTCACCCCACCTAGACCCCAACCCATAAGAAGCCTAAGCCCTGCTCCCTGCCCCTTCTTGATCTACGATACTGTGCCCCACCCCAGCCCGCGCACCTTCTTCCAGGGGCTCAAGGCCGGTCCCGTAGGTGACCAGATCATCTTCGCTGTCACTACCGCGGGCCGCCATCTTGCTCTCTCCCCGACTCCGCCTTCCCACTCCAACCTACAGTGGCCTCTGAGGTCCAAAACTCTCATTTTCCCAACCGCTTTCCTCTTTTCTCTTTTCTCTTTTCCTGGGTTCGATGAATCAATCCTGGAGCGGTTTGTCCGATCTGAAGAGGCTTCCAAGGACTCTTTTGCTTCGCTTTTTGTGAGGCTGGGACTCTGGTGACAGGCAAGCAGAGGCGCCCCAGTCTGGCCGAGATGAATTGCAAAACCCAGATTTAGTGTTTTGGTCAATTTGAGGATCTTTGAGAAGCCAAAGTTGACCACGTGGGTCTCATGCCCCCCCCCACCCCCACTCCCCCCCTAAAATGAGCAAAGTGCAGGAGATTAGACTAGGAGAGCATGGGCCTGAATTCTATTCCTGGCTCTTCCACTGAACTAGCTTTGTGACTTTGGGCAAATAGTCGGCTAACCACTAAGCATTTATTGAGTGCCTACTATGTGCAAAGCACTGGGGATAAAAAGAAAGGTAAAAAATAGTTCCTCCTGCTGAGGAGCTTGTGCAGCTCTGCCTCACTTATTAAATCCAATTTAGGAGCAAGTCAGGACAACAGCACCAAAGGGTTCTTCTGCAACGGGCCTGTGCTCGAAGAGAAGGCATTCCGGAGCTGTTGGTTAAGCCTTTGTCACATATGTCTCTTTCACATAAGCCTCATGACTATCATGGTCTACGTTTAGACTTTAAAAAAAAAAATAGTTCCTCCTCTCAAGGAGCCCAAAGTCTTATGGCACTACATTAGGTATTGGGCTTGCATAAACACACACACACAAAAAAAAAATGAAACAGTCCCTGCCCTCACCGGAATTTGCATTTTATAAGGGTAGACAAGATGTAAGATAAACACTAAGGTATAGGACAGGACTGGACAGATGAGTTCATTGATAGAGGAATGAGGAAACTTCCTCTACCAATGAAAGTTGGCTTCTTCTTTTAAGTTCATAGCTTAGCAAGTTTTAACCCAGAACATCAAGGTTACACAGTCAGAATGAGTGGATAGTGAGACAGTATTCATTATGCCACACTACCCCTGTCTCTATGGGCAGTTAGGTGGGGAAGTGGATAGAGCCCTGGGCCTGGAATCAGAAAGATCCATCTTCCTAAGATTCAAATCCAGCCTCAGACACATACTAGCTGTGTGGCTGTGGGCAAGTCATTGCTTCAGTTTCCTCATCTGAGGGAAAAAAAAAAACTGGAGAAGGAAATGGCCAACCACTTCAGTGTCTTTACCAAGAAAATCTCAAAAGGGGTCATGAAGAGTCCAATACGACTGGAAAAAAATTACTAAACAACAATCTCTCTCTTTATACACACACACACACACACACACACACACACGCACACACACACACAGAGGTAAGCATTGAGTATGCTAGAGCCTGCCTTAACTCACTCAGAAGATCCAACTGATAAATTTTCAGTGTGAGCATTTACACCTTGGAAATAGGCAAATGCTACAAATCAGGGCTTGATTTATTGTTTTGTGGATTGTCTAGACTTTAAAAAATGAAGAAGAAAGTGTAATACAGGTTAAATTTTAAAGCCTATCATGCATAATTCCCTCACAGACACAGCCACTTGTTAAACGTTTGCCAGCACACCCCTTTGTATATATAAGATATCTTTCCAGCTTCATTGAAAACTACTGCCCAACTCTTTACCCATGTCTGAAATGTACTCCTTCTTTAACCCTGCAACATAAAATCACTTCTTTCAGTAAAGACTCATCTCAATTGTACATGTATAGCCTAAATCAGATTGCATGCCATCTTGGGAGGGGCAAAAGGAGGGAGGAGGAAAAATTTAGAACTCAAAATCTTATAAAAGTGAATGTTGAAAACCAAAAATAAATAAATAAGTGAAAATTAAAAAAAAAAATTCATCTCAAGCACCTGAAGCCTTTCCTGATCCTACCAACTGCTAATGTTCTCCCTCCCTATCTACCTTGGATTTAATTATTTTGAATTTATTTGTATTGATTCTCTCTCCATATTTACTGTGTATGTACTTATATATGTACTTGTTCCCCATGTTAGATAGTAACCCTTGAGAGTAAGTATTGTTTCATTGCTTTTATTTGAATTCTCATGTCCTAGAATAGTGCCTGGTACAAACATAGCAGACAGTGAAGAAATTGTTGTTGAGTAAATGATTACAGTATAAATACACAGTATGGAGGGGGAGAGAAAAGGGCAGTCCCACCTTCCATAGCTGCAACACAATGGAGTTGTAGTATTAATTCTAAAGACTCTTCTAGCTTTATGGTTTGAATCAATTAAATACTGATCCCCAGGGCATCTTGGACCAGCTGAGGAGATGAATTCCTTTGAAATATCTGAGGAGAAATCCATCCTAAAAGTCCTATGAAATCTTATAGGCAGGGGTGTACTGGTAACTGTAACTGTACCAGGTATAACACCTGGTGGGAAGAGGAAGGAGGTGAGGATACACAATAGGCTTTTAAAGTTAATCTAAATTATTAACATTCTCTCCATCACTTTCTTAAGTCTAGACAATCAACAGAACAAAAAAATGAAGCCTAATTTGCTGATTTACACGGTGTAAATGCTCAGGTAGAAAATTTAATGATCAACTCTTCTTACCCTGTAGAAGCTGCCTGTAACATAGTCCAATGTGTTGGTAACTATGTGAAGGAATAAATTCACAACTCCATTCTCTGACACCCAGTATTGTACTAAGTCTGACATACATACGTGCATACATTTATACTTACATACATGCATACATACATATATACATATGCATATATACACATATATGAAAGGGGAACAAATTAATTGTAGAAGGCGGAAAAACTTCTGATGATATTGTACAATTAATACAAAATTAAGCCAATAATCTCACTTATATTGATTCTTATTAAAAATATAAAATGTCCTTTGTTTATGAATAGAGAATATTGAATGAAATGGAAACTTCATTGTAAGGATCTTGTAAGACCTCAAAAATCTTCATTGTTGTTTGTTGTTCAGTTACGTCCAACTCTCTGTGACCCCTTTTGGTGTTTTCTTGGCAAAGACACTGGAGTGGTTTGGGCAAGTAGGGTTAAGTGACTTGCCCAGCGTCATAGGCATGTGTCTGAGGCCAGCTTTGAACTCAGGAAGTCTTCCTGACTCTGAAACTGGCACTCTATCCACTTTGCCACCTAGCTACCTCCAGAATCTTCATAATAAACAGTAATTTTCACATTTTTCTGAGCCTGTACTAACCCCAGGATACACCCTGAAAGGTGATTTTTTGTTTTCCTTTTGTTTAGTAATGTCTACAAAGGGATTTCTTCAATGTGAATATTTTCTCCACTAACTTAGATCAGAATCTTGTTACATACTACCTTTAGTACCTTGGACTTTGCTTCAAGGTGCCAAATTCAATGGCCTTTTAAAGCATTTACAATTCTTTAATAGCTTAAAACAACACAGATTTAAAAAAATTATTTCTCCATTTACTCAGGAACCATTGTCTTGGGATCTCCACAAGAAAGTGAGACAAGGAATGAGGAACTTTTACAACTAACCCTGTATAGGCTGTGTGCTGGGTATATGTGTGTTAGGGGCTGAGGGGTGGGTGGTAGAGGCAGCAAGATACTGGTCCATCACTAGGCTTCATAATGCCAATCCCAAGAGCAAACAAAAGATGGGCCTTGGGATGGAAGGTTTTATACCCTTTCCCATCTACCTACCTGTTCTCTCCTCCCCACCTCTTTGCAACCCCATGCTCCTCTCTCTCCTTCTTGGTGCTAATAAATATTTTAAATAGTTATTTTTAATAAAAATACATAATTTAATAAAAATACGTGTGTTTAATAAAAACAATACATAATTCATTATTTCAACAATCCCAAGTTGCTCTCCAATACATTTTAATCATTAAAAATACAGTGTCCCAAAAGTCTCAGTGCAGTCTTAAACTTTGAAAGCTTATTTGCTTTGATTCTCTTTGAGCTGTGATAGCCTAAAAGTGCAATAAGACTTTTGGGATACAACAAATGTGGTACTAAACAAAACAAGCAATATTACTTTCTTACTATTCAAAATAATCTTTCCTGTATCCCCAATACATTTAATTGATCAACCCCCTATCAATATTTAAATTCCCATTTCATGAGCCAAATGCTAAAGTGACAAAAACAGTCATCCCTCCCTAGAATCAGAGCTGAAAAAAATAAGTCTCTATAGCTGAGGCCCAGAGAGACTAAGTAGCTAGCCTCAAGTCATATTGCTAGTTAGTGGCAAAACTGGAGCTAAAACCCTTATTTTCTGTCTGCCCAGTGCAAATTGCATTCTGCCACAATGTCTACCTTCTGAACAAAGAGCTTTAATTCTAAAGCAGACAGGAATTCTGGCCAAAATGGTTGCCTGAACACAGATTGTTTGCATAGCTCCCTCGTATCTATGCCAGTAACAAAAAAAAAAAAAAAAAAAATTAGCACTTGATCGAGAATGATCAAGAAATCCAATGAGAAACCATAGTAAGTGACTTGTTCCACTCCACATCTGCACACACGCAAAAAAGCCAGCCACCCATGAGCAATAGTGGGCCACCAGGAAAGCCAGCACCAGCACAGACTAACAAGCCAGCAGTTTCCTACAGAAGGGCCACAAACACATGTAGACTGAAGGACTCCAGGAGGCAACAGTGGAGGGCCCCCAGGGTGATTGTAAGGGAGAAGAGGTGTTGGAGGGAAGGGATGTCGAAAGTCCTAGGAAGCAGCAGAGACAAGTGTGTGGTACTAATCAATATGAGCGGGCTTGGACAAGGTCACTCCAGAACTCTGGGGTTTGTGGAATGCTATCCTGAGCATCATAAAGGTCCTGAAGATTTATCTTTTTTCACCTACTCATCGCTCAAGTTTTAGTTCTTGAATTGAGGCTTTGAGCCAAGGCCAGGCTCTGCCCCCTTGCTGAACTTTGGGGGTGAGCTATTAGGGCCTGCTTAGATCACTTGGATTCCCGTCCTTACCTCCTCCTCCCAGAGTTAGGTACTGCTACTTCGGCTGCCTCTTTTTTTGTTTTGTTTTGTTTTGTTTTGTTTTGTTTTTGGAGGCAATTTGAGTCAAGTGACTTGCCCAGCTAGTCACACAGCTAGTAACTGTCTGATGCTGAATTTGAACTTAGGTCCTCCTAACTCCAAAGCTGGTGCTCTATCCACTACATTACATAACTGCCCCTGCCTCA